TTCAGCAATCATTCTCTGCTTCCCTAAAGATATCCATGTAATCAGTAGCAATCACATGATCTGATGGATTAACTGATTTGCGCTTTTTAAAAAAGGTTTTCATCTCTTTGTCTTTACCTTGTAATATTTACAACAGAAAACTGCTAGAAGTGCGCAAACAGGAATAGCCCCGTTTCCATGATTTACTGCTCTCATTATGCAGGAAGCATTTCTGGCTGCCGTAAACAAATCACGTCAAAGGCAGCCCATCAAAGGCTGTTCTGTGTGGACAGCAGGGCCACACGGAACAAAGCTTGCTTCTGGGGGAGGCAGAACCTCGCCAGTGCGCAGCTGCAGGGGTGCAGAGCACCCTCCATCCAGGCTGCACAACCATCAGAACATTGTCGAGCTCTGAGAAGACCCTGGGGTCACAAACAAATCCATTTTCAAATCATCCTGGAAAACAAAGCCCCTTTGCTTTGCACAAAGGGGTATGTTACAGGCATCATATTAAACTAGGCTGCATCCATTGCCTTGTTGCCTCTGTTAAGTCAAATAACAAGGTAATTTCAAAGCCCAAATTTCATGTTTTCTGTTATTGTCAACCTGCAAGAACAATTCTTTTCCTAGCAACTGTTTCAAAGGGGAAAACTGGAAAATATTTACAAAGATTATTGTAAAATAATCATTTTTTACAATGGTGGCACTAGGGCTTGGTCCTACACACCTGCACCCTCACAAAACAGCATCATGCCTAGTTTTTCAAGGGGGGAGGGGCGGGGAAGGCTCGCAGTCAGTGCCACAGGCAGTGCTGGTGTATACATCTTGGCTATCTTAGGAGACTGTCTAGAAGAGACCATGATGACACAGACCCTGTGGTGATCACAGAGGGACTGCAACTTCCAGTCTTTTCCATCCTATCGGGCTAGTGCTTATGCCTTCCAGCCACTATCCAATTAAATTTAAATCCAGCTTCCTTCTAATAGTAGAGCTAATTCCATTGCTCTTAGGGATTCTCCAGAACTGCCTTTGTAATGAGAATTAAAACACCAAGCTTAAACAACCCTAAAGACAGAAAAATGTTTTGCTCTTCTTACTATTCCAAACTAAATGGTGTTCAAATTTCTGATGATGTAGCTTACTTGGTGTTCTGAGTAGGCTGAATTAGTGCTCAAGAAACTCAAATTAAGGAATTCAATCAAAACTTTCATTAGAAGTGTATAAATATGCAATTATGAAAGAAGGCACATAGACAAAAGCAGGATATGTAGGAGATACTTCGGAGCATGTATATATGGAGAACTGGTAAGATAACACACACCACCACCCACACCTGAACTGGCAATGTGAGATGAGCAAGACCATGTCACTCCCACTCACCACCACATCCCTCTCCTGGCTCAAAACCGACACAGATCTCCTTCCCTAAAAGGCCGTCTCAACTCTGCCACGTGCTCTTGACCTATTCTCCAAGTACAGCTCTCATGGGCACCTGTCCCGTCCCCCACCCCCCCACACCCCCGTCGTCACAAGACTCTCGCCAATCTTGGCCCCCTTTGTTCTGCAAAGGCACCATGCATGCCCTTTTCCATTTTGGGGGCTTATGGCTACTCTTTTTTTTCCTCAGCTAGAGCATTTTTTTTTTCTGTTGCTCATTGCCAATTATTACATCTCAATGCAAACATGTCAGACCCCTCTCAGAGGCTTGTCCCACTACAATATATCTTCAATATATAGTATACATGAACCGTTTCCATGCTTTCGTGGCTAGTCTTTAATCTTCCCTAACACATTTTTCAGTTCCAGTTTTATCTTAAAGTTTTATCTTGAGTGCAACATAACAAAGAGCTAGCTGAAAAGTATCTGTGTGTGTGTGTGTGTGTGTGTGTGTGTTATGGGGGGGACTGTGCAGAAATTTTTTTTAAAGGAACACAATAAAATTCATTATGTCACATTTTATGTGTAAATTTACTTGCATTTAAATTTATTCATGAGAATTTTGTTTTAATGTTCAATTTGGTATCTTCTGCTGCTTGTGAAGATTGAATGAGTATGTTGGGTTGGGATAAAATACATCATTAGAATTTTTCTAATATTATTAAGATTTTTTTCTCCCAATATAATTTTTTTTTTTTACTTAGAATCGGGGTTCTTAGAAATAACGTAAGGGTAAGGTCTTTAAACAGAATAGATCTATTTCCTCCATTACCAACTATACTCACCTATTTTATCCAAGTGGAAATGTCACCAAGGCCACAAGCTACCAAGTCTAGAGTATTGGGGAAAGATGAGTCAGACCTAGAACTACACATTGTGAGTCATCAACAAATTAAAAAAAAAGCTGGATTAGATCACTGATGGAGATAAATTGAGAAAAGAGAAACAAAAAACATGATTGAAGACAGGGAAGAAGGGAGGTCAAAAGTCTGAACCCTAAAGCCTGCCAACATGATTGATGATTTTTCCTCTTCTATATAATCTCCCTGTGATAGGTGTTTTGTGCGAACATGGCACTGGTAAGAAGATATGAATTGGAGTTTAGCCTGTCAATCAGGTTGCAACTTGATGACCTCTGGACCGTGTGACCTAGATAAATGGCTCACTGGGGGCTGACCCCTCTTTTCCTCCCTGGTGACCAGACCAGCAGGCTGCTTGATCTACCTACCTTGCCTCTCCATGTGCGCTGTGCTATCTGTGGGGCAAGCCAACCGGTGGACCACGTGGACTGCATTGATATTCTGTGCTGTTCCACGGCACAGCACCACTTCACCTTGCTGTGTTTGCTGCCTGCAGGCTGACTCCACCTATCTTGTCACCACTCCAGATGCCACACCTCTCACCAGCCACTTTGCATCACTGCACTGTAAGGCTCCACTGCGACCTGCTTCTCTAGACTGCACTACTGGCCTCTGCTACACCTCATTCCCTTCATCTTCCTACTGTCTGCTGCCTTGGCTGTGAGTTGGAAGGACCTTCGGTATATTAACTGTCCCATGAAAGAGAGTTGGACTGAGCTCTCTTTCTGTACTGCTGCGTGGACTAATTTGCGGTTTTAGTCCTTTTCATTATATAAACATCTATTTATTTACTTATATAATTTATCATCATAATTGTCTTGATTTTGCTTCTCTAGAGAACCCTGCCTAACACATTCCCTTTGTTAACTTATCTATTAGAGTAATTTTCAATGACAGCAACAAAAATATCACAACCAGTTTCTGTATTTCAATGCTCATACTATAAACTTTTATTTTCACACTCAATGTATATATGTAGCTCTATATAAGCAGAGAATATACATAAGTATAGATCTAGAAATATATACACATGTAAATATACATATTGTATAAGTAGACATGAAGAGAGAAAGTAACAAGGGCAGATACACATATATTATAGAGAGAGATGAAGAGACTGAAGTAACAAGGGTAACTAACAGAAAACGAAAGATTCTATTTTAAAAGTAAGAGAAATAACCTCACAAAACATAAGAATAATAATGCTTGCAAAATAAACTGCATCCAAACAATATCCTAAAATTTATACTATAGTTTACCCTTTTGTCTCTAGCGTTTTAATGACATATTCTGGAATACGCAAATGACTATATTGTAAATGTTACAAAAACACACAAATCTCAGTTCAAGGAATTTTAACAACTCTATCTTCCTGCTGTTTCTGGTTTCTATGGAAATGGACAGAGGTAGCTGCTTAAAAAAACAGGATGAGGTACTTAAAACACCTCTATTCAAAGAAGAAAAGTGAGAAACAGCTGGCAGTCAGGGTGAATAACTGGTAGCACTGAAGTCAATTTATGCTTTTGGAACCAAGTTTAGATTAGACTTTAGACACATTCTCTGTAACACTAATAAATTCTCACTCCATCTGCCTTCATGCAACACAACTACATTTAACCTTGTTTTAACCCAGAGAAAAATAACTACATCACATTAGTAAACAGTTGTCCAGGATTTGACTACATAGGCCATGCATCAAATTTATTCTCCTACATCACTTATATTTCCAACCTAATCACTTTCTTTGATATGAAGTCACTTTGCCAGCTGGAAAAACCACCTATACTACCTTTGGAAATACCACATAGTGTCAATTAATATTTAATCTAGGTAACAGTTCCCAAAAAACTAAACACAATTTAGTAAGCTTACAAAAGGGAGAGCAACTGCAAAGTAAAATAAATGCCAGGTATGAACCTCACGCCCCCTACATTCCAATTTGGTCTCATTTGCATTAAGAAGTCAAAGACGATCATGCTGGTGAAGTTCTTATGCATGTGTCTCCTCACAAGTACCTGCGCTATGTATAATAGCCCACTCTGTGTAACAGCCCACTGCCAAAGAGTAGACTCCAATTCATAGCAACCCTAAGCAGGGGTTCTGAGGCTTAAATCTTTATGGAACAGATACGTCATCTTCCTTCCCTGGAACAAGTGGTGGGTTTGGACTGCTGACCGCCACATGTAGCTGACAGCACCACAGTTTGCCAATTCCATAATTTCTACTGCAAAGACCTAAGTGAAACAATTACTGTGGGAATAAAATAGACACAACTCATGCATGGAATGTGGAGGGCAAGAAGCCATCAAACCTTCAACCAGGCAAACAAACAGACACCAAAGTGTAAAAACACAGTATCATTTTACACGACTCAACTCACGGCCGTGAGTTGATTCCACGGCACGGCGACCCCAAAGTGCAAGGTAGACTGCCCCTTGCGTTTCTGAGACTGATTCTCTACAGGAGCAGGAACCTCATCTTCCTCCCTAGTCATTTTACACAAGTGAGCCAAAATGAAATTTTCACTTACTCCCAAAGAGTCAGGTGATAGGCAATGATTAACAGGGTGGAAAGACTACTGCAGCCCAACTAAAATTTTCAGTTATGCAATCAATTCTGTTAAATCAGGGATACAACAGTTGACTTGAAGACATTTCTGGACCTAAAACTTTGCCAAATAAGCTTAGAAATTTTTGAGAACTGGAATAACTTAATTATTCTTACCTTTGCAGACACTCAAAATCATACCATCTGAATTTTGTACTTCATCAAATTTGGCAAATATCATTTCTAATCTGGGAATAAAGAATAAACTTTGTTTGTTTGTTTGCTTTTACAGACAAATTAAATAAACACAATTTCTTCACCATCTTCCTTAGAAACAATTCTAGGACCTTCACCTGACTTGTCTACACAACAATTTTGAGGTTAATTCACTGACTGAAAGGAGGCAAAACACCATCTTTCTTCAGATGAAAGAAGCTCAGTGCAAGTTCGGGCAGCCCTCTATCCGCCCACAGTCATACTCATGAAACTCTATTGCAAAGCTTCCTCAGGAAATCATTCCTCCAATTCCATCAGAAATAGTCTAGTTACAATTTATAATAAATCTACTCAGTCACCAAAGCGTAGAAAAATCATACTAAGGAAGCTTAACACACCAACACATTAAATAGCAGAAACTAAGCAATGCTGACCCAATTGATAGTCTGATGCTATCCCTATAAGCCTGACTACTTTCATACAACACCAACTCTATTAGCACTTCTAATTTTATATGCAGGATAATTACCCTTTCTGCACTTCATCTATCACATTTTTGAAAGTTAAAAACGTATTTCTTATTACAAAATCAAAGCACTCATTATAAAAGAACATATAAATAAGAACAAAGTAGAAAAACCACAATTCTACCATCTAAAGAATTTAACTGTGTCCTTTCTTTTAAATTCACATGTAGATTTTCTTTCAACCAAAGTGGGAGCACGTTGACAATACTAATTTTTAATTTGCCTTTCTTTTACTTTCCACTATACATCATCTTGGCATTTCTTCATTTGAGGGAGAGAAGGTGGTCGCCATGTTGTCTTAAAATGTCATATGGTTTACTCCAACTTTGCCAATGTTTCCATCAAAACTTCACTTCTTAAAACCTTAGTTAAACATTGGTTATTTCTGTGTATAAATTGAGGAGGCAGGTATTTTGTGGCTTAAATTTTTTTTCCACTAGGAAACCCCTAGAAATCATTAGTAGAATTTCTAAATATTTCGTTCACTCCCTGCCCCACTGATATCAACAGAAAAGCTCTTCCCACAGCTGCAGCCATGTCAGTTGGAAGACACAGTCACATTGACTCTCGAGAGCAACATCAGCAGTTAAGCAGACACCAGGCAGGTTTCTCAGAGACAGATGTGGACAGGAGATGGGGAAGGAGGCACGGGAAGTTAACGTTGAGCTGCATGGGGACACAGCAGAATAAACATTAATGAACAAGAGCTTAACACTCAGCTAGATTATGAAAATGGAAGTTGGAAATGTACGACAGAATGCTCAGACAGAAAAAGCTGGCAAGGAACTGATGTGGGGGAGATAAAAAATGCAGGCAAGGAATGGAGTCGTGGGCAGTTTTAATAAGAATAGGGCTCAATTGAAACACTAAACTGGAAAAAACAAAACAACCTCACTGCCATTGAGTCAAAGGCAACTCATAGGGACCCTGTGTTGATTTCGGAGATTGTAACTGTTGACAGGAGGAGCAAGCCCTGTCTCTTTTCCAAGGGACTGCTGGCGGCTCTGAATTGCTGAGCATGTAGATCGCTGCCCAATGTGTAACCATACACAACCAGGCTCCTTATAATAAGAATCATGCATGTTCAAATGCGCTTTACACAAGTGATGTATGTATGGATTGTGATGAGAGTTGTATGAGGCCCTAATAAAACGATAAAAAAAAAAAAAAAAAAAAACAAAAAAAAAAAAAAAAAAAAAAAAAAGAATCATTCACTGCTGTGCAGTTAATTTTAAGGTAGGAAGATACCATCAAAGAAGGTCTCTGGGCTGAGAAGGCCAAAAATGCTTTTGATTTCACACTTCTCACCGTGCTGCCAGCCTTCAGTATGCACTCTGTCCTCTTTCTTGCCCGGCTGTCCTCCTCGCCACGCACTGCCCCTCCTCCAGGTGGTTCTTGCTTTGCTAACTTGCATAAACCGGACTTTTGTTTGGGATTTATTTACTCCAGAGGATTTAATTAGAAAAGCAACTCTAACCGAAGTTCACAGATAAGTTTAGGGAAGAATAATCAACCACAAGTGCAGTAGGAGAGAGACGATTAGAATCTCAGAACTCATCTTTTACAAAATTTAATAATTTATCAGGAACTATAAGGAGTCCTGGTGGCACAGTGGGTTATGCACTGGGCTGCTAACCACAAAGTCAGCAGTTCAAAATCACAAGCTGTTCTGCGAGAGGAAGATGAGGATTTCTACTCCCGTAAATATTTACAGTCTTGGAAACCCAGAGGACAGTTCTACTCTGTCCTATTGGGTTGCCATGAGTCAGAACTAAATTGAGGCACATGAGGTGTTTTTCAATTGAAATAGAAGTCAAGTATCATACAACTAATCCCCTTTAAAGTGTACAATTCAGTGACTTTAGGATGTTCAGAGACCTATGTAGCTATCGCCATGATCAATTTTAGAACATTTTTATCAACATAAAAGCAATAGTATGCCCATTAGCAGTCCTTCTTTATTTCCCACAACTCTTCCAGTCTTAGGTAACCACTAATCTACTCCCTGTCTACAGACTCACCTCCTCTAGCCACTACCTACAAATAGAATCATGGTTATATAGCCTTTTGTGACGGCCTTCTTTTGTTACCATATGTTTTCAAGGCTAATCCATCTTATATAGCATATGGATATTTGAGCCCATATAAGTATGTACATTTGGCTACGGTTAGTAAATAGCTGACTTATTTTGGTAAGAATATGAAAATATTAGTAAACTGCCTGTATACGATAAAATCCATAATAGCTTGACTCTGATGGGAGTAAAAAATCAAATGAGTTCTCTCTAGTAACAAAAATTACAAATATAAATTAAGATGTCAAGAATTATAGGCCAATCTCACTTTGAGCATAGAGGCAAAAAAAAAAACCTAACAGGGGAGCGCTAAAGGATGATCTTTCAATTAAGTGGAACGAAGTGAACAGATCACCAGCAAGTGCTTCATTTCTTCCTCACTTTCAGCGCTTTGAAGCACCTGCTGATGAAAATCAAGGATGGTAGCCTTCAGTATGGATTACAAATTAAGGTAAGAAAGACCACAATCCACACAACTGGATCAATAGTAACACCAAGAGAAAGGGTGAAGTTAGCATGAATCTTGTCTTGCTTGGATCCACAAGCAAAATGCTTATGGAAGCAGCAGTCAAGATATCAAAAGATGTGTTGCATTGGGTAAATCTGCTGCACAAGACCTCTTTAGAGTGTTGAAAAGCAAGGATATTACTTTGAGAACTAAGGTGCGCCTGACCCAAGCCATGGTATTTATTCGCCATTGCATCCTATGCGTGTGCAAGTTGAATACTGAATATGAGAGATCGTAGTAGAAAAAGTGATACATTTGAATTGTGATGCTAGAGAATAATATTGAATGGACCGCTAAAAAGACAAACTGATCGGTCTTGGAAGAAATAGGCCAGAGTGCTCCTTAGAGGCAAGGATGGCAAGACTTCATCTTACATACTTTGGACATGCTGTCAAGAGAGCTCAGTCCCTGGAGAAGGACATCATGTTTGGTAAAGTGGAAGGGCAGTGAAAAAGAGGAAGGCCCTCGAGGAGATGGACTAACCCAGTGGCAGCATCAATGGGCTAAGACATAGGAACAACTGTGAGGAAGGCACAGGACCGTTCACTGCTCTGTTCTGCTGTGCACAGGGTCATTATGGGTCAGAGCTGACTTGATGGCACCTAACAACAACAAGTGAACGGATACTCTTATGGGGGAAAATGTATCTAAATCCCTACCTCACACTATTTACAAAATCAATGCCGGATGGACTCTAGATATAACTGTGAATAAAACTTTGAGACACAAACTCAGAAATGTGTCTCACAAGGTCAGGATGAGCAAAGATTTCTTAAACAAGAGATACATGTCTAATCATAAAGATCATAATTGAGAAATATTTTTAAATTAAAAACTTCACAACATTAAAAGACAGTATCAAGAAATAACACAGGCATATGGAAGAAAATATTTGAAACAAAATATAGCTGGCAATGTGCTCTAACACCCTGAGAACACAGATAACTCCCATAAAACAACTGAAACAACAAGACTAAAACCCAATATAAATAACTGGAATAAAAGACCTGGAAAGATATTTCACAAAAGAATATATCCAACTGACTAATATGGAAGAGTGCTATTTTTTGTAATCAGAAAAATGCAGATTAGTCACAGTGAAAGCAAAACATAGCCAGAATCCTAAAATTATTGCACCTGTTCAAAAATGGCATTGCACCATCAGACTTTCTCAAACTTCACAAGGGGCAAAAAGATAATCAAGATCATGCATCATCAGCCCAAGATGATTCCAAAGCCACCTTGACTCTAAGGTGGTAAAACATACTTCCACCTTCCAACCTTTTGACTAATTTTGACACCATCCGTCCCTCCCACAATACTCTTCTTTCTCTGCTGAGTTACAATGACACATAGAACTCACAATTAATCACACTTATGAGATTTAATAGCGAAGTAATGGGCTAAATTCCTCATCAGGAACAACTCAGGATATAATTCTTCACTGAGGACTTCTTAGTCACGCCCACAGGAAGAGACCTCTCTGGCCCTTGAGCTCTTAGCCCAGCCTCTGCTCCGCCCGGGCAAGTGTTACAGACTCTTGAGTTTGGCCAAAAGTGCCTGGACGCACTCTACCCACAAGCCTCAGTCCTAAAGTGCTCACCTGTCTCTTGCTCTCTGGTTCCATGACCCTAGTTCCACCAAGTGTCTGGAGACACTCCACTCTGTCAGGGAGCCTCCAGCTGAAGGTGCTTAGTGATCTCATTCTATGGATCAGTACACCAACTCAGCAGGGAAGCCATCGTGGCCCAGTTTCCGGATTCTTCTGCCACTGTTTCTTTGCTGCCACTTCTTGCTGTGTCATGCCATCCCCAGTATTACCGCTGTCACCTGGGTCTAGGAGATTCTCAGTAGAGGAACTTGAGTGCAAAGGACACCCACCAGTCCAGGATCTTGTTTCTTGGTGGTCACGAGGTACCTTCTTTCCATTGTGGGATGGCTAACTGTGGGATGGCTAATATTAAGTCTAGCAGGTTAACAAAACCGACCAATCTCCTTAGGGTGCCATACATCTTATTTACATAGTCCTATCCCAACAAGAGTGCCAAACATTCTATCTGCCTTATTAGCAAGTAATCCAATTCCCTGGTTGGGTTATAAGCATTTTATTTGCACTGTCTCACTCATTGTTTAGTCAAAGTTAAAAGAACATGACAAGAAAGATCATAAGAAATTGAGCTATCACATTACAGCATGAGACTAATGGCACCAAATACGGGTAGGAGTATAGAATAATGTGAACTCGCAAAGAGTTCTAATAAGAATATGAATGGGTACCAACCAATCTTGAAAACTGTTTGGTGGATGAATATATACATACATAAATACACACATATAC